GGCGATGACAATAGCAAGAGCCTCTTTGTCGTGTATCGGGTAGTTTAGTTCTGCCCCGTGCAGTTTCTTGCTGAGGTAGGCAATTGGTTGCAGTCCATTCCCCTGGTCTTGCATCAAGACTGCTCCCACGGCCTGATCACTGGCGTCTGCTTCAATGACGTAGTCACGTTCGGGATCTGGCAAGATGAGCACCGGTGCGGATGTCAGTGCTTGTTTCAGCTGCTCCACGGCTTCCTGGTGCTTCGTCTCCCATTTGTAGGGCGTGTTCTTCTTCAGCAGATTCGTGAGTGGTGCCGCGAGTTTCGCATACTGTGGCACGAACCTGTTGTAGTAATTAGCGAAGCCTAGGAACTGCTGCAACTCCTTCACGTTCTCGGGTGTCTTCCACGTACGTACGGCTTCGATTTTCTTGGGGTCGACGTGAACTCCTTGAGCGCTCACCATGTGTCCTAGAAATTGGACCTTCTCCAGGGCGAATTCGCTCTTGGACAGTTTGACGTAGAAACGTTCCCGTCGAAGTATTTCGAAGACGCGTCGCAGGTGTTCGACGTGCTGCTTCATGTCGCGCGAGTAGATGAGGATGTCTTCCAGGTACACCACCACGCATTCGTCCAAGAGTGGGCGTAGGATGTGGTTCATCTCTGCTTGGAACGTCGCTGGTGCGTTGGTGAGTCCAAACGGCATGACCAAATACTCGTACGATCCGTACCGAGTTCGGAAAGCAGTTTTGTGGATAGAGTTATCCGCCATCCGTATCTGCCAGTATCCGGACCGCAGATCCAGTTTGGAAAATACCGTAGCTCCCCGAAGCTGGTCAAGCAGGTCATCGATTCGCGGTATCGGATATTTATTCTTGATGGTCTGCTTGTTAAGAGCTCGGTAGTCGATGCACATGCGCAGGCTTCCGTCTGGTTTCGGTGTGAAGAGTACTGGGGCACCGTATGGTGAAGTAGATGGTCGGATGAGTCCTTTGGCTAGGAGATACTCGATCTGCTTCTTCATGTCGGTCAGCTCCGTAGGGCTGAGTCGATATGGTGCTCGGAAGGTCGGCTTCGAACCTGGTTCCTCTATGATCTCGTGTTGATGCGTGCGGTATGGCGGTAGCTCGTTCGGTAGATCATCAGGAAGAATGTCTTGGAACTCCTTCAGCAATTTCTTGATTTCTCCTGGAGGTTCCGAGGTCTTCTCTCCGTCGATTTCCACCTCTGTTGCTAACGCCAGGAACCCGGTGTCGGTCCGCTTCACGTCTTTCTTGAATCGTGCGAGTGTCTCCACTGGGATATCTCCTGTATCGTCCCAGTTTGGTAGCTGAACTCTCCTTCCATTGTTGTAGATGCTTGCAGTGCGGTTCACCCAGTTGATTTCGGGGTTGAATCTTTTAAGGAAGTCTCGCCCGAAAATCAGGTCAAGCCCTTTGATGTTGGTGATGGGGAGTGCAGGTCTCCAGCGCAGTGGTCCGATTTGTAGATGTAGCACTGCTTCGCCGTGTACTGGTAACTTGCTGCCGTCCACCATCGTTGCAGAGAATCCTGAAGGCTTGTACTCTTCCCGAAGTCGGTCGATCACTGCCTTGTCGCATACGGTGTGTGATGCTCCACTGTCCACGAGTGCTTGGAGGCGTCGTCCTTTGCAGATGACCTCGAGCACGAGAGGCGGGCGTTGCTCGGAGTACCCAAAGATAGTTTTATTAATGGGGTCATAGGGTACATCCCAATAATCCGTACACACCTTTGTGTTGCTGTCTACTCCTGAGCTGGCAGCTGGCCGAGGCTGCTTGGAGAACGGCTCTTCTCCAGGGCCCGGAGTTTCTTTGACGACTGTCCGCGTCATTGATGCCGAAGAACTGGATGCATCCGTAGGAGGAGTTCGGGGTTTGTGCAGCTTCTTGTAGACCCCCAGCTTCCTCTTGAGCTGCTTCAGCTCCACCGACGTCTTCCCTGGGGAGCGGGTAGTCGTTGTGGGCTGGTGTCGGGAGAGGACGTTGACTCCGTGGAAAGGTCGGCTTCTTTCCACACTCCTTAATTTGGTCCCCAAGTTGTCCGGTACCGGTATAATCTCCACAGCTGTCTGCTTCTTTTGGAGTCCCTCCCGAAATTTCTCCAAGGCTCTAGCCCCTCGAACATCATAAGTTTTCATTAAAGCATCCTTATATGATAGCTTTAACGATTTCTTATAATTTCTTGGGTCTTCAAGGAGTTTCCCCGTTTCGGCAGAGTCTTTTTTCGCGGAGTCTGATTTTTCCTCGGCGATTTCCTCTGGCGAAGACTGGTTGTGGGGTGGAGATTTTCCCCCATCATTTCCTCCTTCTCGCGTCGAATCAGCTTCGTCGAAGTTGATTTTCCCGGAATCCCGCGGCCGTTTTCGGATCTTTACTTTTTCGCCAGCTAGATCCGCAATCACTGGCGACTCCCGTTTTTTGTCTTCTGATTGGCCGAAAGATTTCCGCCACTGTTGCGTGCCCGATACTCTGCGCGTGCGGCCTTCATTTTGTTGCAGTCGAAGATTCGGTGGCCCGGCACCCCGCAAAAATCACACGTGTAGTTGGTGTTTTTCGGACGTGGCCGCCCCTCGAATCTGTCGACTTCCATCGGATCGGCGAACGTGGGGTGAGCCGAGCGGTCGCCCTGTTGCGTACTGCCGACGTGCGTCCGTCGTGTCCCGGCGTTGACCATGTCGAAGCGCTCCGCTGCCGAAACGACGTCACTGTAGCTCGCGTAGTTTGACGCTGCGACTTGTCGTTTGACTTCGGTCTTCAGCCCGGCGAGGTACGATTGTACTTTTTCCCCTTCGGTCAGGTCGGGAATTCGGTTATAAAATTCTTCCATCTGCTGCGTGTACTGTGCTACACTCCCGAACTGTCGATGGCGATGAATTTTTTCGCGGGCAAGGAAACCTGAATTTATCGGCTCGAATCGTTTGAGCAGGTCGGCGCGGAACTGCTGCCACGTGGCTTCACCGTGGATGAAGGTGCTGTTGCCGCCAATCCACTCGAGTGCCGGCCCTCGCATCAGTGTCGCCGCGAGTCGTACACGTTGACCGTCCCAGACTGGCGAGCTCCATCCGACGGCTGCGAAGTAGATCTCCATCCCGGCGATCCATCTGCGGGCGTCGGAGTTTCGATCGCTCGGATCGAACGGCTCAGGTGGGCGCGGTTTCGGAGCCTCGAGAAACTGCTGCGACTGCTGCGTCGTCGCCGTTGTCGAGTCGTGCTGCGCTCCGGCGAGTCGAGTTACTCGCTCGAACTCGTTTCGCCATGCTTCGCGATCCGCTCGCAGCTCCTCCTGAAGAGCGGCGATGCGCGCGAAGAGTTGCTGGGTAACCTCGGCGTTGTCGAAGGTTGCCATCCTGTTCAAAACACGCACGGAGGGGGTAATTCGAAAATCGCGGAGCTGGTGCTTACCAGAATCGGCGTCGAATTCGTCGCCCCCGGCGGTTTTTCGAGGCAGGTTTTCCCGCTGCTGCTGCTTTGTTGAGCGCGGCCGAGTGAGAAAAACTCTGATTACCAAGTGTCACAGGATCGAATGACTCGAGGATCGATTGCACTATCGATCAGTACAAGGTGCTTTTATACTTCCATAGTACATCAGGTAACCAGGTTTATCCTATCCAAAGGAATAGACCCTTCTAGAATATAGAATCTCCCTGCGTATAGCCACGCGAGGCCATTGGCTTTAAGGGATTACGGCAGGATTACGCTGGATAATGTGCCAGTACATCCCAAGCCTGGTCGGTGATATAATTATAATAGCAGGATCAACCAAAGGATAATGGAAGAATGGAGAACAGAAACCAAATGAGATGAGATAAAAAGGAGAATGAAATAGGAAGGAGATAAGAATAGGACAAGTGGTGTAACGGGGTCGTACTCTCACAGGATCTGCTGCGTGGAGAGTTTTGACTGTCTACAAATATTTCAGGCTGCAGTGGGGGTGTAGATGGTTATTTTTCGTCCTTGAAGACAACATCTCCACGTTTTTAAGGTGGTGACAAAAGCAAGGGCCTGTTTCAGCTGCTTCACAACTTCTTGATATTTCGGTTCCCATTTGTAGGGCGTGTTCTTCTTTGGCAGATTCGTAAGTGGTGCGACGATTTTCGCACACTATGGCACAAACCTATTGTAATAATTATTGAAGCCTACAAACTGTTGTAACTCCTTTACATTCTCAGGTGTCTTCAACGTGCATATGGCTTCAATCTTCTTGGGGTCGACATGAACTCCTTGAGCGCTCACCATGTGTCATGGGAATTGGACGTGGAAACGTTCCTGTCGAAAAAAATTGAAGACGCGTCGCAAGTGTTCGACGTGCTGCTTCATGTCGTGCAAGTAGATGAGAATGTCGTTCAGATACACCACCACGCATTCGTCCAAGAATGGGCGCAGAATGTGGTTCATCTCGGCTTGGAAGGTTGCCGCTGCATTGGTGTGTTCGAACGGCATGACCAGATACTCGTACGACCCGTAACGAGTGTGGAAGACTGTATTATGTGTTAGGATTAAGGACAGAGTCTAGGTGAACTTAGGAGCTAGAATTACTCAAAATATAAATCCGAAATTCTGGACAGAAAAGTCGTCTTCACAAGAAACGACGTCGACAAAACACTAGCCGTTGGAATGTCGCGAAACTTGGATATGTTGTAGCTCTTGATCTCAGCTACCGTTCCCAATTTGAATCACGTTGATTGATGAAGTATTCGCGACGCTATGGCTTTCGACGCACTAGGGGGTAAGCTGTAGGAGGAGAACTTAACTCAATCTCAAGAGTTCAATCAAAGTTCAAGAATCTCACAAGGAATTAGAGGAGCAAGAGAAAGGTTGGGATAGAAGAGAGGGATGAGAGGGAAGGTCCCAAGAGAGTCCCCAACCAAGGAAACCCCATAAGCACAAAGATTCCCTCCCTATAGGAACCTCAACTTTGACCTTTGTCCCTTCCCAACCAATCCATCCAAGTTGGCCACCCTTGCCAACCTAGCTTGGTTGTTCCCAACCTATTTGCAGCTGTTACAGTAGAGTGACAAGTTTACCCAACCCCAAGGTCCCAACTCCATATAAAGTCACCCCACAACTTCACTTTGTAACCGCCGCAATTGTAACGCAAGCTCATGAACTTTGAATCTTCATAGCTTTCGCGTTCTTGCTCCGATTGAAGGGATTCTCGTTGCGTCGGAAAGATCTTCTCAAGATCTATCATCACAAAAAACCTGCTCAAACAAAATAACACAAAACACATTCCCAAACTCCAGAACACATCACACACAAATTCTTGCACACGTTCAAACCACACATGCAAGTTGAAAAATATGGGATGGGAGGCAGACAGAATGTGATAGCATATGATGACATCACACAACAATCTCCCCCTCTGGCTGCCAACCATCATCCACCATACCAACATCTCAAGCATGCATACTCAATGCACACTCATCCCAGCAAGCTTCATGCCCTTCCAATGATCCGCCTCCGCCAGACGCTTGGTGAAAATATCTGCTGCCTGCTGATGGGTCTTCACTATCTCCAGCCGCACCTCCTTATTGAGGAGTCTCCTCACCCAATGCCACTTAGGCCTTATGTGTTTTGTCAGCCCATGCAGACAAGCATTCTTGGCGAGCTTCACAGCAGACTCATTGTCACAGAACACAACTGTCGGCTCCTCCTGACCAACTCCCAACTCCTCCAACAAGCGCCTCAGCCACACCACTTCCTTGGCCCCATGGTGTAAGGCCATGTACTCAGTCTCACATGAGGACAATCCCACCTCATTCTGCTTCTTGCTGCGCCAGCTCACAGCACCACCTCCTAGCAAGCACACATATCCCCCAATGCTGGTGCCATCCGCTTTCACTGAGTTGAAGCTAGCGTCAGTACCTTGGGTTGAGGAATTGCAGCCCAATAGCATAATGCAATCTCATCTTCCTCAATCTGCTCAACCACACTCCCAGCCTGCACCACATTCGGCTTGCCTCTTCCCCCATAGGTCAGCCTCACTGGAGGGCGCACATCCCTCCTAGGTCGCTCAGGCGGGTGTGGAACTCGAGGTGGAGACTCATGCTGCTGCTGCTGCTGCTGCTCTACTTCAGCTGCTCCCCCTTCCTCAGTCACCCCAGACATCTCCTCCTCTGACACTGCAACCTCCACCTGTCTTGAAGGCTGCTGCACCTCATCTACCTCCACAATGAGCGGTGTAGATGGAAGCTTCTGTTGCTGCTGCTTCCATTCCTTGTAGTACAGGGACTCAAGAAACTTCACATCCCTTGACACTGTCAGCTTCTGGGTGGTCAAGTCCCATAGCAGCCACGCTTTGTGATCCTTTGCAATCCCCAAGTGCACACCCCATCTTCCAGAAGCCTCCAACTTCCCTCTTTTCTCCTTAGGCACATGAAACACTACCATGCACCCAAATGCCCTCAGCATGTTCACAGCTGGAGCACTCCCATACCACTTGACATATGGGATCCACTCCTTATCCCCAACTGTAGCCAGCACCCTATTCTTCACAAGGGCGACCTGCCTCAATGCAGACACCCAAAACGGATCAGGCAGCCCTGCACGCCCAAGGAGAGTGCGTGCCCCCTCCTGCAGGGTCCTGTTGAACCTCTCAGCCACGCCATTCTGCTGCGGGTTGTAGGGCACTGTCAGTTGATGCTGGATCCCCTTCCTCTTCAACTCCCCCTCAAAATCAGCTCCAATGAACTCCCCACCATTGTCACTGCGGATCACCTTCACCTTGTGTCCGCATTCCCTCTGAGCTCTAGGCATCCACTCCTTAAGGACAGCCGCTGCCACCTCCCCCTTGCTCTTCAAAGGGTAAACCCACACTGCCCGAGTGTGGTCATCCACAATTGTCAAGAAATAGCGGCTGCCTGAGAGGGAAGGGGCTCTTGTGGGCCCCACCACATCCATGTGCACAAGTGCAAGTGGGGTCTTGGCTGGTCCTGTAGTGCTGTTGAAGGGGAACTTGGAGAACTTGGTCTCCAAGCATGTAGGGCAGCTCCCAATCTCCTTCACTTCCCCTTTCACCTCCAAGCCCTTCAGGCTCCCATTCTTCACCAACTTCTGCAGCATAGGGAAGTTCACATGACACAGCCTCTCATGCCATGTCTCCCAATCGGCCTCTCCACTCCTTGATGAAGCCTTAGCCCATGCCGCACTCGCATCCACACCAGCAAGCACCTCACCATGTGTCTGCTGCTGCTGCACTTTCTTGACTGCTTCCAGGACCCCATCAGTTGGTGCAGTTGCATCTCCTCCTGCTGTTGCCTTTGCCGCTGCTGCCGTTGCTGCTGTTGGAGTCTTCCCATTCCATGGGATGATGGGCAGCTGCCACAGGTCCTTGATGCAGCTGGTCTCCTCTTCCAGACTCCACAGCACCTTCTTCCCAAGCTTAGCACGGCAGCTGGTTGGTCCAAAGGTCACTTCGGCCTTGCTCTTCTGCAGTCGTCGCACAGAGAGAAGGTTAGCAGACAAGCCTTCAACCAGCAGAACATTCCCAAGCCCCACAAGCTCCCCATTAGCTCCCTTAACCTTGGCATTCCCAACACCAATCACGGGGAGCAAAGCACCTGACGCTGCTGCCACATACTTAATCTTCCCAGGGGGTTTTACCTCATCAAGCAAATCTGCCCGTGGAGTCATGTGACTGGTGCAACCCGAATCAATCACCCAGTGCGTGAGAGGGTGCATCACAACCTTTCCCACAGATCCCACATCACCCTCATGCCCATGCACATCCTCAACCATGAGATACATCCCAGGATAGGCGTTACCTTGTGCACCTTCACCTTGTGCACCTGAGCCTTGCACAGCGCCACCTTGTGCGCGTTCACCACTTGGCGGCTTCATGCCTGGAGGTGACCATCCCTCCAGCCTGCTGAAGCACTTGAACCAAGGATGCCCGACCTTCTTGCAGTACCAGCAGGTGCCCTCCATTCTGGTACTCCCCCTGCCACTGGAGCTCCCATGCCCCTCATTATAGTCACCTCGGCCTCTACCTCTGCCAAAGCTTCTCCCACGGCCTCGGCCTTTCCAACCCCCTCTTCCTTTGCCGCGCCCTGCAGCTCCATACCCCTCAGCAGTCTTAGTGGCAGCACCGCCTCCCACATGGCGTCTGCGGAAGTCCTCCTGCAGAATCTGCTGCCTTAGCCACTCAGGTGTCCATTGATCTTGCTGAGAGTTGAGGGTGGGGATGAGGTTGTCCCAAGAGTTGTCCAACACCGAGATGATCTTGGTGCACTGCTGCAGCTGAGATACACTGCTGCCCGCTGCTGCCATCCTTGCATAGGTGTTCTTGATCTTGTCAAGGACCGGCTTCACATCGTCCCCTGGTCGCATGGAGATGGCAGCAAGTTCCTTCTCGAGCACGATCACCATCGGGAGAGTGTTGGGCTGAATCACATCGCGTAGTAGTTTCCACGCCCTTGGACCCGAATCATCCGCTTCCACAAGATCCTTGATGTGCTCGAACATCTCCTTGTTGACCGATTGAAGGATGAGGTCGAAAAGCACCGCGCTTTTCTCAATCCACGGTTCGCGTGCTTCGCCTTCTTCTGGCATCTTCTCTTCCCCAACAGCAATCTTCAGTAGCTTGTAGCGTTTGAAGGCACTCCTCATCCGTCCGCTCCATTCCTCATAGTTGGAGCCATCCAAAGCTTCAACTTTTGATGGCGGCGGCTCACTTGTCTTCTCAGCTACAGCTCCTCTTCCATTAGCATCTCCTCCTCTCTCATTCATCTTCTCCTTGAGAAATGACGAATTTCAGCTCCCCTTTGCTGTCCACACTCAGCTCCCTCGATATTTTCACAAGTGTCGGCGTCCACGAAATTTCGGCAGAGTTTCCCCTTAGCGGAAGACACATCCAACCTTTAGAACACCACTTAGGCACACCCACAGGCCATGGTGGGTCTAGAAGGGTCTTCACACTTCTGTAGACTCCTCTCAATGTCCTTAATATCGCTCTGATACCACTTGTTAGGATTAAGGACAGAGTCTAGGTGAACTTAGGAGCTAGAATTACTCAAAATATAAATCCGAAATTCTGGACAGAAAAGTCGTCTTCACAAGAAACGACGTCGACAAAACACTAGCCGTTGGAATGTCGCGAAACTTGGATATGTTGTAGCTCTTGATCTCAGCTACCGTTCCCAATTTGAATCACGTTGATTGATGAAGTATTCGCGACGCTATGGCTTTCGACGCACTAGGGGGTAAGCTGTAGGAGGAGAACTTAACTCAATCTCAAGAGTTCAATCAAAGTTCAAGAATCTCACAAGGAATTAGAGGAGCAAGAGAAAGGTTGGGATAGAAGAGAGGGATGAGAGGGAAGGTCCCAAGAGAGTCCCCAACCAAGGAAACCCCATAAGCACAAAGATTCCCTCCCTATAGGAACCTCAACTTTGACCTTTGTCCCTTCCCAACCAATCCATCCAAGTTGGCCACCCTTGCCAACCTAGCTTGGTTGTTCCCAACCTATTTGCAGCTGTTACAGTAGAGTGACAAGTTTACCCAACCCCAAGGTCCCAACTCCATATAAAGTCACCCCACAACTTCACTTTGTAACCGCCGCAATTGTAACGCAAGCTCATGAACTTTGAATCTTCATAGCTTTCGCGTTCTTGCTCCGATTGAAGGGATTCTCGTTGCGTCGGAAAGATCTTCTCAAGATCTATCATCACAAAAAACCTGCTCAAACAAAATAACACAAAACACATTCCCAAACTCCAGAACACATCACACACAAATTCTTGCACACGTTCAAACCACACATGCAAGTTGAAAAATATGGGATGGGAGGCAGACAGAATGTGATAGCATATGATGACATCACACAACATTATGAATGGAGTTGTCTGACATTTGTATCTTCTAGTATCCATACCGCAAATCCTGTTTGGAAAATACCGTGGCTCCCCGAAGCTGGTCAAGCAGGTCATCGATTCGTGGAGCTCGGTGGTCAATGCAGATGCGCAAGCTTCCGTCCGGTTTTGGTGTGAAGCGTACTTGGGCACCGTATGGCAAGGTGGACGGCAGGATAAGTCCTCTCTCGAGGAGCTACTAGATTTGTTTCTTCATATCGGCTAGTTTTGTAGGGCTGAGCCACTATGGCACTCAAAAGGTCGGCTTCAAACCAGGTTCCTCTACGATCTCGTGCTGGTGGGTTCAGTATGTGTGTAGCTCGTTTGGAAGGTCGTCGGGAAGACTATCTCGGAACTCCTTTAGTGATTCCTTGATATTATCTGGAGGTTCTGTCATCTTCCGCATCTATTGCTATCGCCACAAACCCGGTGTCGGTTGATTTTATGTCGTTCTTGAATCTGGCGAGTGTCATTACTGGGATATCTCCAGTGTCGTCCCAGTTAGCTGGACTCTCCTTTCTTTGTTGTAGATGTTTGCTATACGGTTAACACAATTGATCTCGGGGTTGAATTTTTTAAGGAAATCTTGCCCAAAGATCAAGTCAAGCCCTTTTATATTGGTGATGGGGAGGGCAGGTCTTTAGCGCAGTGGTCCGATTTTTAGGTGTAACACTTCTTCGCCATAGATTGGTAACTTGCTGCCATCCACCATCGTTGCAGAAAACACAGAAGGCTTGTACTCTTCCTGAAGACAGTCGATTGCTGCCTTGTCGCATACGGTGTGTGATGCTCCGCTATCCACAATTGCTTGGAGGCATCGCCCTTTGCAGATGACCTCGAGCACAAGGGGCGGGCGTTGCTTGGAGTACCCAAAGATAGTTTCATAAATAGGATCATAGGGTATATCCCAATATTATCCATCTTTTCGTTGCTATCTACTCCGGAGCTGGCAACTGGCCGAGCAACTGGCAAATTCCTCTTGAGCTGCTTCAGCTCCACCTACATCTTCCTTGGGGAACAAGTAGTCATTGTGTGCTGGTGTCGGGAGAGGACTTTGACTCCGTGGAAAGGTCGGCTCCTTTCCACACTCCTTAGCTTTCTCCCCAATTTATCAGGTACCGGTACAATCTCCTCAATTTTCTACTTCTTCTTCTGTCCCTCCCAAAATTTCTCTACGGCTCTAGCCCCTTGAGAATCATAAGTTTTCATTCAAGCATCTTTATTAGATAACTTTAACGAATCCTTATGGGTCTTCCAGGAGTTTCCCCGTCTCGGCAGGGTCTTTTTTTCACGGAGTTAGATTTTTCTCGGCGAACTTCCTTGGCAAAGACTGGTCGTGGAGTGGAGATTTGTCCCCATCATTTCCTCCTGCTCACGACGAATCAGCTTCGTCGAAGTTGATTTCTCAGGGATCATGCAGCCGCTTTTGGATCTCTTTTTCCCCAGCTAGATCTGCAACCACTGGGGATTCCCGTTTTTTTACTTCTGATTGGCTGAAGAAGTCCCGTTACTGCTGCACGCCTGATATTCTGCATGTCCAAAGATTCGATGACCCTGCACTCAGGAAAAATCGCACATGAAATTTGCGTTTTTCGGACGTGGCCGCCTGTCAAACCTGTCGATTTCCATCGGGTCGGCGAACGTGGGGTGTGCCGAGCGGTTGCCCTGTCGCGTACTGCCGACGTGCGCCTGTCGTGTTCCGGAATTGACCATGTCGAATCGCTCCGTTGCCGATACGACGTCACTATAGCTCGCGTAATTTGTCGTTGCCACCTGTCGTTTGACTTCGGTCTTCAGCCTGGCGAGGTACGATTGCACCTTTTACCCTTCGGTCAGGTCGAGAATACAGTTATAAAATTTATCCATCTAGTGCGTGCACTATGCTACACTTGCGAAGTGTCGATGGTGATGAAATTTTTATCCTGCAAAGGAAACTCGGATTTATCGACACTAGGCGGGCGGGGTGGCTGGCACTGCTAGCGCTAGCGAGCCAGTTAGCTGGCTGGCGTGCTAGCTGACTAGCGAGCTAGCTAGCTGGCTGGCACGCTGGCTAGCTAGGAGGGCCTACAGAGTGCGAAATTTGGAGAGATTGAGTTGCACCAAAATAAGAGAAGAAGAAGAAAAAGAAGAAGAAGAAGAAGAAGAAAAAAAAACGGTTCACTACTGGCGGAAGCTTGGCGCTAGGGGGAAACCTAACCTGGCTCTATACCTTGTTAGAGTAGCGCAAAAAAAATGATGGAAATTTTTCAAGAGAGTACAAGAGTGGGTATTGTACCCTCTACGAACTGACCTATCTCGTCTATAACAAATATAACTTACGTAACGTATGAATGTATATTTGTTGACAGGTATCATGTCCATCCTTTGTGCTGGTTGCGTTTATGATTTCCATGGCAAGGTTTGTAGGATCGAAGTTTGCTGTTCTTGCCGAGAGGCGTGATTGCATGGGGTTTACGATGATGCTGGCCGGCAGCTGTGGGAGTGAGCACCCTATCTTGTAGGTCTCCTCATACAAGGGACCCCCCCATGGAAATCCCCCCTCCTCCTTTTCCGCACGTAACATGGACATTGCCATTCCCACCCACAACTGGATGGGCTGTGGGGAACATGGACATGTCGTGAAGGTGTCGCTAAAGTGGGGCTGATTCAGCTATGTCTGCAATGATAGTGTAGACTGTCGGAAGTGCCTCACACTCTTCCACGTTGACAACAATAAATAGCAGGTGGTCTGATAGGCATCCATCCAGGACTTCATGGGAGATGCTAATAGCTGTGTCAGTGGCTTGCTCCAATATGTGGGGTTGATGCGTAATCGATGGTGGATGGGGTCAACATCTTTCTCTCGCCCTCATTGTACCCTCCTTCACCCACCTTGAAATGTTCCTTGTCAACCAAATTCTTTATTGAAACTTGCTAAGTGTTCCCCTCCTTCCCCTCCCCTCTCCTCCCCTTCCCCCCCCCCCCCCCCCCCCCCCCCCCCCCAAACCCCCCCACATCATGCCGCATGCCTCAAACATAACCCTAGAAGCCCATTTTTTGGATCCACTCCTTGGTGCATGCCATGGATGTTATGAGAGAATGACCTCGTTACACTTCTTTCTCCTTTCTATATTTCTTCTCCATCTCATTTGCCCTTTGTTCCTGATCCTTTTGGTCTTTATCTCATCTCGTTTGGTTTCCCATTCCTCATCTTCCATTATCCTTCGTTTTATCCTGTTATTATAATTATATTACAGGCCACGCTCGGGATGTACTGGTGTAATCCTGTCGTAATCCCTTCAAGCCAATACCTCGCATGGCTATACGCAGGGTGATTCTATTTCTAGAAGGGTCTATTCTATTTGGATAGGATAAACCCGGTTACCTAATGCACCTTGGAAGTATAAAAGCTCCTTAAATCGATCGATAGTGCAACTTTCTCTCGACCAATTAAATCCTATAACACTTGGTAAACAGAGCTTTTCGCACTCGGCCCCACTCAGCTAAGCAGCAGCAGCAGCGGGAAAACCCGCTTGAAAAAACCGCCAGGGGCGACTAATTCGGCGCCGATTCTTGTTAGCACTATATCTGCATTTTTTTCATTAACCCCTTTAATTAACCCCTCCGCATGTCTTTTGAACAGGATGGCAAGCTTCGACAATACCGAATTTACCAAGCCACTCTTCGCCCGCATCGCCGCCCTACAGGATATGGAGTGTGGAAAGGAGCCGACGTTTCCACGGAGTCAACGTCCTCTCCTGACACTAGTGCACAATGACTACCCGCTCCCAAGGGAAGACGTTAGTGGAGCTGGTGCAGCTCAAGAGGAAGCTTATGTCTACAAGAAGCTGCAAAACTCCCAATTTCCTCCTTTTGATGTATCCAGCTCAGCAACTTTGGCATAAATGACACACCCAGTCGTCAAGAAAGCTCTAGGCCCTGGAGAAGTGCCCTTCTCCAAGCAACCTTGGCCAGCTGCCAGCTCAGGAGTAGATAGCAATGGAAATGTGTATACGGAATTTAGGGATGTACCCTATGATCCTGTCAATGAAACCATCTTTGCGTACTCCGAACAATGCCTGCCCCTTGTGCTCGAGGTCATCTGCAAAAGGCGATGCCTCCAAGCACTTGTGGACAGCGGAGCGTCACACACCGTATGCAACAAGGCAACAATCGACCGACTTCGGGAAGAGTGCAAGCCTTCAACATTTTGTGCAACGATGGTGGACGGCAGCAAGTTACCAGTCTACGGCGAAGCAGTGTTACACCTACTAATTGGACCACTACACTGTAAACCTGCCCTCCCCATCACAAACAGAAAAGGGCTTGACTTGACCTTCGGGCGAAACTTCCTTAAAAAAAAAAAACCCCAAGACAAACTAGGTCAACCGCACTGCATGCGGCTAGAAAGGAAGGAGAGTCCAGCTACCAAACTGAGATGACACAGGAGATATCCAAGTGGAGACACTCGTCAGATTTGAGAAGGACATGAAACAAACTGACACTGGCTTCCTTGCGATAGCAACAGATGCAGAAGAAAAGAAAGCCTCGGAACCTCCAAAGAAAATCAAGGAATTACAAAAGGAGTTCCAAGACATTCTTCCCGACGACCTTCAGAACTAGCTACTGCCATTCCGAATGCACCAACACGAGATCCTGGAAGAACCAGGTTCGAAGTCGACCTTCCGAGCACCATACCGGCTCGGCCCTACAGAGCTAGCTGACATAAAGAAACAGATTGAGTATCTCCTCGAAAAATGACTCATCCGTCCATCTACCTCACCATACGGTTCCCAAGTA